TTGCAGTTTCTATCTTTTGGTTCAGGATTATCTGCCATGTTCTAGCGAAAAGGAGAAGGTTATGGGGCATAAGTCTGATTGTACTACTAAAGAGAATTGAGAAATCAGGAAAGCCAGAAAGAGTATCTGTTGTTAAAATATAGATATATTTTAACTATGGTTATGTGTGGAAAAATACTCCATCTCAACTGGGTGCAATAACTGTTAGCTTCAATTTTCAGCAGTTATGAAATAATGCAAAGGAGTCTAACACAATACAAGACACCACCTGATATGACAAAGTAAGCTTTGTATGCAATATACAGAATAAAAATAGAGCAATTACAGATAGGAAAAGCTGCAATGATAAAACACTAGCATTACAATTACGTAATTCTCCTTTTTTTTTTAAAAGATTTTATTTTTTTCCTTTTTCTCCCCAAAGCCTCCCGGTACATAGTTGTATATTCTTCGTTGTGGGTCCTTCTAGTCATGGCATGTGGGACGCTGCCTCAGCGTGGTTTGATGAGCAGTGCCATGTCCGCGCCCAGGATTCGAACCAACAAAACACTGGGCCGTCTGCAGCGGAGGGCGCGAACTTAACCACTCGGCCACGGGGCCAGCCCCCATGTATTTCTCCTTTTTTAATACAAATCTTAACTAGCTACTTTAAAAGCTGATGTCCGGCAAGTTACATTATCTCTTTGTACCACCTTTGCCCCTACCTATAAAATGAAACAGCTAAAGCAGAAGAGCTTTAGGGTTCCACTTCCATGATTACTTTATTCTCCTCTTCCAACGTTCTATGACTTCCATGTCATGCAGTGATAGAAAAACTTTGACTGGCAAGCTAAGCTGCTAAAAACAGTGAAACAAGACTTTATTGTCTGGCAAATACCTTAATGCCTCATTCCAATCACAAAGTTCTTTGACCTCTTCTTGGTGGTGGTGGTGGTGTTCTTTTGCTCTTGTTTGTTTTTGGCATAATCTTTTAATACTGAGGCAAGCTTGCCTTTCTCTCATGACTGGCTGATGGGAACTAGGTACATTTCTCCATCCATGACTAAACAAACGCCCACCCTTCCAGTTTTACAATATTTATATTATTTGATATGCCAGTAAGAGACATAAAATTTATACCTATAACTCTTTGGTAAGGCACTTTCTCCTTACCTATTTAACTACAGGATAGCTATGGGGGCAAAATACATCTGAAGAAACATTTCAGATTGAATTATGGTCCATTTCAAGCAAACTAAAACCCTACCAAGTTTTCATATGAAAATACCAATCTTGTTTTCATTCCTAAGATACGATTCAAAGTTAAACAAACAAAAAGTTATATTCAGTGTCTGGAAGAGGTTTTATAAGGCTTCAACAGTCGTGGAAACTGCCAGTAGAGTACGCTAAGAAGTAAAAATAATCAAAATTTAAAAAGTTGTGAACTACTCCAAATTGTGCATGGAGCTTTACCTTTGTTTCTAGTACACAAAACATTTCATATGCAAAGTAAGTATGTTTATGTATGTGGGGAAATAAAAGACAAAGATAAAATTTATTTTTATTGAGTATCAGAACTAAAAGAAACAGCTGCTATTTCTCAACTACTTTTTTAAATATTGACATCCTTTTCTTTCCATATTTCTATTTTGAGGAAGAAATTCTTCTTCTGACTGAAATGGAATATCACCTTTCAGGTTTGAGAATTTTTAAGCCATGATTTTCCATTATTTCCTTAAATCTCTAACTACTTCTACAATATTAAATAAACTTAGGAGATATACCTTTATCAGTAACACCGGAGCCTTTCCACTCTGTAATTCTCTAGGATGCCTGAGGACGGACTCATTAGCTCCTGAAATCCTCTCTGGGCCTTTGGAAGGCGTAAGAGTCTTCAGTTTGCTACGGTATCATTTAACGTAGCACAGTGGTCAACATGGGAGCAGCAACTAGCTGATTTTACTGACAGATTTCATCAAATTAACTCAACAACATTTTGGGGCTATATATCCTGAATTTGCATGTGCTAACCAATATCATTTTGGACTTTTTTGATATTCAAAAAAGTTGAATATCTGGACATTTGATATTTGGACATTTTGATATTCAAATAAGTTTACGAGTTCAACAAATATCTACTTGCCTGGATAAACACACATACATGTTACTGTGATTGGTGGTAGAAAGAGAAACAAAATAATTTTTTTAAAAAACAATGCTTTTGTTTCAAAAGCATTTACCATCTAAAATAAAAAGTCTACAAAGAAAAGTAGGTTTAAAATAAATATAAAGTTTTTCTTTAGTTCAAGTTCTTGAGTATCTGTTATATGCTAGGTCTTGGAGGAACAAAAAAGAATAAACTCTAAAACTTAGCCACAAGCAGCTTACAATCTCATCCCGAAAAAGAAGCACAAAACATTATATTGTCAGACTTTGCAAAGCGCTGTGACCAACCGAGGGCTACACAGGAGGCCAAGCCACAGAGGCTGACAGTGGGCCTGCAGGGCTCCTGAGCGGGATGCCTTCATTGAGGCTGGAAGGCAAAAACCAGGAAGAGGGTTTTCAAGATAGAGGGAGAAACAGAATTCCAGAAAGGAGTAAAATTGTATGGACTGTTTTGAGAAATACAAGATGTTTGATATTCCTGGAGCACAAAAGAGAGGGAAGGAGCACACTCTCATGGGTGGGCAGGAGAGATGTGGAAAACAGCCCAGAAGGAATGGCAGAAGGTTAACGCAAAACAAAAGTAGCAGCTAAATCAAGAAGAGACTCACTGTGCCAAGAGGCCTGACCTTTATCTACGAGCAAGACAGAGCCTGGGATGGGAGGGTTTCAACAGGAAAGCGAAGTGTTCCTGGGGTGGGAGACTGATCCCTTGAAGGGCAATGTAGCAGACTGACTGGTGGTACAGCAAAGGAGATTAGGAGCAGGGAGCCCCAATAGAGGCCTCTTGCTTCAAGAGATAGTTAACACACGATACAAAAGGTCCCATGTTCATTTTTTATAATATGCCTGCATATAAAATGTTACTTACAGATATGAAAATAACCAGTATCAGGATTCACATTAAAGCCAAAAATAATACTGAGAAGGTATTTCAAGTTTTAAAATGCTCAACCAACCTTCAATCAAAGCACATCCCATTTTAAACATTATCAACCAATATCACAATTTTCTCTTTCCTCTCTTGATTAAAGGGACGATTCTTTTTAGTTTCTTATTACTGTAGCAATCTTACTCGGTTTGTTTTCTGCCCAAAGTTTCCAAAGAGTATTTCAGAAACAAGATACTAGAAGGACTAAAAATATAACCAATAAAAAAAAAGTGTAAGAAAGCAGTATCATGTATTAAAGCAACATATAAAGTGAACAAATAAAAGATATTGAATAAAGAACTGAAATCAAAATCTTGATCATGAGTTATTATCCACAGGCAGTGGCAAAGCAAAATTTAATTGAGAAATGCCCATTCTAGATTAACCACGGTTGCATTTTCAAAACATATTGTTGTGAAAAATCTAAATCAAACCCATTAATAAACTGGTAGGCAGAACTAGCAAAAGTACAAAAAAAAAGCTTGATTCAGAGGCTAAAACAAGAAGCGAATGTTAAAATATAGTTTAAATTTAGATATTAGATTAGCCTTAGGGCTTTTCTGAATTAATAAAAGTGATTTTGAAACATTTTGCATTATTTTAAAAATTACACAGGATTCAACAAAAGTGATACTCTACAACTACTGGCCTCACTCCACTCTGCATTTCGGTCTGTCCCACTGCTGTTCTGGATGCGATTCACCCCATTTTAGGACCGGCTGGCTCCTGAATACCAGCCCTAACACCAGACCTGTGCAATACTACCAGTTTTTCCTTGTATCTCTGCCAGCCTACAGTATAAGCTCCACAGAAACCTTAATATTATTTTTGTTTTTAATCTAAATGCGTAGTACGGAAAACCCTTTGGAACTATAATCACCATCTAGAACCTAAAAATTTTGAGTATCATGCTAATGTTTATATTCCACAATTCAAAAACCAACAACAGGGAACCTTTCACTATGTCAGTTGTAAGTTTCATTTAGTTAATGCCACACTTATAGAGAAGCAACATAGTCACTTCACGTGCCATGTGTAGTAGACATCAAACATGTAACTATATAAATTTCATGGGTCTTCTAAATCAGAAAATACACAGAAAACAATTTCTTTCTGTCCCCTTCAGCACCACGCTTTTAACGTTGATCTAGGATATGCAAAACAATGATGAAAAACGAACATACAACAGCAGTATGAACACACTGACAAACGTATGTAAAAGTGCTGCTTGCGATGAAAGGGAGAAACCAACTACCAATGTGGAGCAAGAGATGGTAATTTAATGTCTTTAGGGAGTCACATTTTGTAAGGAACCAAGTCACCTGGACACGTGAGAAACTCTTCTAAATGCTGAGCCTCTGCCTCTTAGATCAAGAAGGCTCACCCCCGGATCTCTGCATTCCCAAAGGCAGTCACTATTTCACTTTAGTGCACTGTCAAATGGACACTGGCTTTCTTTTCAAAAGCCTGCACGTTGCACACATTCATAGCTTGCACATTTCGGCAGTGTCTATTACATCTTCACATGTTCATCTGAATTTTCCCCTATTCCATTTCTAGACCATTCACTGCTATAATCTTACTAAGATTTATATTTTAATACTGATATAAAAGTAAGCAGGAATTTACCAATCAGAAGACTTCAAGTCTGACAGAATAAACAGAAACCTACTGACAAGACACAACATAAAATTAGTGTTTGAGAGCCATTCCCACCACCCGGGTTATTTAAGTGTACTATGAATGTACACAGCATTCTGAAGAGAAGGACACAAACCCACGCTGCCACCAACACACCCTCCAACAGCAGCAGCCCCTCCCTATTAGCCTGAACATGCAGCGCAGCCCTTTGCTCACCGATGCAGAGCAGCCCACAGGGAGATGGAGTTTACGAGGGAAAGCGAGCCTGAACTGGCTAGCTACTTACCTTCTCACTTAGGGCAGGCTTGCTCTTTTAACTTTTTGTTTCCTCTCTTGTCATAGCTCAGCGGCAAAGGGTTATGATTCAGCAGAAGTGTGAACCTGACAGTTAAAAAGAATTTTTTTAAGAAAAAAAATTGGAAATTAAAGTTCTCTCCCCTGCAGTCTCTCTTTCCTTGCCCTCTGTGTGCGTGTTTCTCTCTCTGCAAGGCAGCTACGTAGTGGTCTATAAATATTGACCCTGACACTTGCTCTGTGCTTGACTTGCTCATGGCACAGGTCTGTGTTACTGAACACCGCGGTAATACTCCGGCAAAGTTCTCAGCTGCTCAGACAAAGCTGTGGATTGGCTCACTACCCAGCAACCCTGTGCCTGCCTGGAAATACCATTTTGCTGCCAGCTTTACAGATGCTATGGGCCTTTCCTGAGGCCCAAAGCAGGCACAGAAGAGCAATTATGAGGTTTGAAGAAATAGTTTTCCTCAAGCAGGTGGAGAATAGGGGGGTTGGGTGGAGTGGAAGACAAGAAAGGAAATACTGCCTTTGTTTAGGCCAAACAACATAATCTCAAACCCTTTATAAAGTCATACCTAAATGTCATTCAATCAAGCTTTGTGAAACTGAATTACTACATATTATGAATGCCCAAAAGAGGTAAGAAAGCATTACTGTAATTGTTTTTCTCCCCAAATCCCCCCAGTACATAGTTGCGTATTTTTTTTTTAGTTGTGAGTCCTTCTGGTTGTGGCATGTGGGATACTGCCTCAATATGGCCTGATAAGTGGTGCCATGTCCACGCCCAGGATCCGAACCGGCGAAACCCTGGGCCGCCGAAGCAGAGCACGCAAACATAACCACTCGGCCACGGGGCCAGCCCCTGTAATTGTTTTTAATATTGTTTCTCATTGAATAGGATGCAGCAACTGAGTAACTGGCCACAAAGAAATATTTCAACACAAATAAGTTCATTTCCAGAATGACAGTAATGGACTAGAGAGTATAATAGTAATCAGATCAAATTATGTATTTGGTGAAAGAAGCTAAAATATAATGTGAAAATTGTATGACTCAACATGTTAACTACTTCTAGATTTCCAACCACAACAATGTGAATTATTTGACTTTACGTATTCTATTAAAGATATAATCTAAGCCATGATCCTATATAGTTTGTAGGTCACATGAACAAGGTCAGCATTATCTAGGTAAACCACATATAACGTCCACAGTATGAATGATTAGAAAGTAAATCAAGTCCATATTTTTTTTAGTGAAATGTTCTCTATTGATTAAATCAAGGGTGAAGGAAACTTTAGAAATAATCTGGTCACTTACCCATTTTATAGATGAGAAAATAGACGCCCAGGCTGGTTAACTTACCCACGGTCACACAGCAAGTTTGTGGCAGAGCTAAAACTACAGTCCTTGCCTCATTGCTCACAATGCTGTGTTCCTTCTATTACAAGAGTGGTTCTCAAACTCATTTTTAGGTTCAAAATCCCATTTTCACGTGAAATCTTATTGAAAACCTTATCAGTAAGGGCAAATATTACAGCCAGAAAAATAACTAGCATAAAACTAAAACAGCCTTTTACAGTTTAATTGACTCCCCAGAGAAGTTTATGCACAAGAATTAACTTTCTAACAATTGAAATCCACCTCTCCTTGTTTCATTCACTAACTAATATTTGCCCAATAAATTAACTTAATCGAGGAAAGGTATATAGCTAGGTGCTGAGGAGGCAAAGATAAAACTTAGTTCCTATTCCCAGAGACCTTACAGTCCAACTTCAGAGGAAAAAAAGGCTAATTACAGAACTGTGTTAGTATGGTGATGAACACTAGAAGAGGGTAAGCAGGGAGCCTGGAACACGAGCGTCTGGCCAACACAAAGTGGGGGAAGGACGGGTGATTCTTCACTCGAGACTTCTGCATCTTCCAGAACGAGCAGAAGGCAGTGAGGCAAAGGAGGGAAAGAATAACACAATAAAGACAAAGAGGCAGGAAAAAGCATGATATGGAACTGCAAATAGCTCTTTCTTGCTGGAACACAGAATGGGAAGCAGGAAATGATTAAAAAAATTTTTTGAAAAAGGACTAGAAGGAGAAAAGTGATGAGGGGGTTTATACACAAGTTTAAAAACTTGCGTTTTATACAGCGGGCTAGCAGTCTTCCACTATTTTCGTTCACAGATCCTTAAAAGAATTGTGAAAAACTATGTAACCACTCACACATTACCAAGTTAACTCTACAATTTCTCACCTGTGGTCAAATATGTACTTGCAAAGAATTTAATTTCCACCCTACTGGAAATATTGACATTTTAAAACAAAACTTGTATCAACTATTTTAGGAACAGTCAATATAATCTAAATCCATAGGAACTTAATAAAACCATCATCCATTTAAATAATACATGAACAGACTCTTTAATGGTTGAAAATTTTACATTATTATTTTATTTTCTTGCCCTTTATTTCCATCTCACTTCCTCATAGAATTTTTATGTAATATATTTTATAATTAAAAGTCTTTAATTGTTGACTCTATCATACTTTTCTGCAACAAAAATTTAAGGTATTAATTGAAATTTTAAAATTGTTAAATTTTCTAGGACTCCAGGGCAACGCACCCTGCATGATTTGGGATGGATAAGGGTGTTCCTTTCTTTTGTAAAGTAAGAGAAAGATTGTTGTAAATAAAGCATTACTTCTAGCCAGATCTGTATTAATAAAGAGTTTATGCAGAAGTTAAGAATCTGGACACTGATTCCTTTAAAACTATCCATTCAATTACTAAGCGAAAAAAGCCACTCCAGGGGCTGGCCTGGTGGGCCGTGGTTAAGTTCATGCACTCCGCTTCAGTGGCCCAGGATTCACATGTTCAGATCCCAGGTGTGGACCTAGTGCTGCTCATCAAGCCACACTGTGGCGGCATCCCACATAAAATAGAGGAAGATTGGCACAGATGTTGGCTCAGTGACAATCTTCCTCAAGCAAAAAGAGGAAGATCGTCAACAGATGTTAGCTCAGGGACAATCTTCCTCACAAAAAAAATAAAAAAACCCACTCTGAAAAGGCTATATACTGATTCCAGCTCTACGACGTTCTGGACAAGGCAGGACTATAGAGGCAGGAAAAAGGTCAGCAGTTGCCAAGGGTTCTGGGGGGGAGGGAGGATGAGCAGGGGAAGCACAAGGGATTTGAGGGCAGTGACACTATTCTGCATGAAACCGCAACGGGAGATGCATGGCATTACGCATTTGGCACAAAAGGTCTGAAAACTACAGACTTTAGTTAAGTCTCTTCCCTTGTCTTCCCCAAACATGTGGCCTAGAGGGAATAGTATTATTTACTGAGTGATTATTGTCTAACAGGGGCTTTAGAAACATTATCTCTAACACTAAAACAACCCTGACACATGGGAACACTTTGGTCTTTTTTAAGATAAAGAAAATGCGTCTCAGAGTTATTAAATGGCTTGTCTAAAGTCATATAACTAATAAATAGTAGATCTGGGATTCAGCCCCAATCTGTCTGTCTGGACTACAGTACCACATACTGCCTTTCTATCAAGCACTTAAATAAGAGGTGGAGGCTGCCCCGGCCAGGCAGTGCAGTGGACTAAGCAGTGCCCCCACAAAGACAGAGAGGCATGAGAGAGTCTTATCTTGCATTTCTCTCAAGGAACTGCAGGAATTTTAATATTGACTATTAAAAGTTAGCAAAAAGATAAGACTAACATACTAATCAGTGGATATCATCGGACAAAATTAAAATAACTGATATGCCCTATTAAGAAGAACTTACAAGGTTTCATCTTCAATTTTGATTGAAGGGTAAGAAATACATGAAGAGTCACAGGCGTGAACTTTCCAACTTTATCTATAGATTCAATGCAATTCCAACCAAAATTCTAGCAAGTTATTTTGTGGATATCAACGAACCTATACTGAAGTTTATATGGAGAGGCAAAGGAACTAGAATAGCCAACACAATCTTGAAGGAGAAGAACAGAAGGGGAGGATTGACACTACTGGGCATCAAGACTTACTATAAAGCTAGAGTATTCAAGACAGTGTGGTAGTGGAGAGAGAATAGACAAATAGATCATTGGAATAGAACAGAGAGCTCAGAAACAGACTCACACAAATACAGTCAACTGATCTTTGACAAAGGAGCAAAGGTAATACAATGGAGCAAAGACAGTCTTTTCAACAAATGGTGCTGGAACAACTGGACATCCACATGCAAAAAAAAATGAATCTGGACACAGATCTTACACTCTTCTCAAAAATTAACTCAAAATGGATTGCAGACCCAAACGTAAAATGCAAAACTCTGTAATTCCTAGAAGATAACATAAGAGAAAACCTATGTGACTGTGGGTATGGTGATGACTTTTTAGATACAACACCAAAGGCACAATCCATGAAAGAAATAATTGATAAGTTAAACTTCATTAAAATTAATAACTTCTGCTCTGAGAAGGACAATATCAAGAGAATGAGGAGACAAGGCACAGAACAGGAGAAGATATTTGCAAAAGACATATCTGATAAAGGACCGTCATCTAAAACATACAAAGAACTCTTAAAATCCAACCATAAAAAAAAAAACCTCAATTCAAAAATGGGCTAAAGACTTTAACAGATACTTCACCAAAGAAGATACACGGATGACAAATAAGCATATGGAAAGATGCTCCACATCATATGTCATCAGGGAAATGCAAATTAAAAGAACAAGATACTATACCACCACGCACCTATTAGAATAGCCAAAATCCAGAATACTGACAGCACCAACTGCTGGTGAGGATGTGAAAAAACAGGAAATTCCATTCATTGCTGCTGGGTATGCAAAATAGTCCAGGCCCTCTGGAAGAGAGTTTGGTGGTTGCTTACAAAACTAAACATACTCTTACCACACAGTTGTACTCCTTAGTATTTACACAAAGGAGTTGAAAACTTAAGTCCACACAGAAACCTGCACACGATGTTTATAGCAGCTTTATTCATAATTGCCAAAAGGTGGAAGCAGCCAAGAAGTCCTTCAGTAGGCAAATGAATAAATAGACTGTGGTATATCTAGACAAGGGA